CGCACTGTCACCCGTAGTTGGCCGTAGAGGGGGGAGCGACCGAAGTGGCTGCATGTTCCCCGATGTCGCCCCTATCAGGCGGAGTGGATGCCCCAGAGCGGTCGGAGCCTTGATGAGAGAAGGAAAAAGAGATCAGAGGGGTAAGTCCCCCCTGTCACCCCCAATCGGCCGCAGGGGGGAGGTCTTGAGGGCGACTCTGGGCGATCGTCCTTGGGAGCTCCGTGGGAGCCATAGGAGTCTCTTCCTGGGACCGCTCTTGAGAGTTCCGTTGGAACTGTCGGGGTCTCTTGGCAAGCCTCGGAATCTTTTGGGCGACTCTGTGGCATCTCGGAGAGGCTCTGGGACCGCTCTTGGGAGCTCCGTGGGGACTTTCTGGATTTCTTGGAAGGCTATGGGGCATCTCGGAGTGGTCTGGGGCCTGCCTTGCGGGTCTGAGGCTTCCTTGGGGGCGTTGGGGGTTCGAGAGACGGCGAAATGGTGCCGTGGCTCGATGCACTCTCCTTGTGAGCTCCTTGAGAACCATCGGAGTCCCTTGGGAGACTCTGGGGCATGTGGGACTGGTTCTTGGAGGGCTCTTGGCCCAGTGGCGGCTACGGGAAGGGCGCCGTCTGGGCTCCCTTCGGTGCGGTCCCTCCTCGAGTCCTCGTGGGGGTCTTCCCGGAGCCTCTCGGGGCCCTCAGGGCCCGTTTCGGGCCTTCCTTGGGCCGTCGCGGGGGCCTCTTTGGGGCGTCCTGGAGCCATGTGGGGGGTCTCGGGCCGTCTTGGAGCTTGTTTTGATGCTTGTCGGGCTGCTCTTGGTGGCCACCAGGAGCTTTGTGGGGCTGTCTTTGGTTTCTCCTGGGCAATCTTCGGGCCCTCTGGGGCCGTCTTGGGACACTTGGCGGGGCCTCCTGGGCCGTCCTGGGGCGATCTGGGATGGCCATGGACCCGTCTGGGGCCAATCTTGGTTGGAAAAGGCGAGGATATGGAAAACGATACAAACCAGAACCAAAGGGAATTGGCCTCGGGGGACTGTCGTCGGGTCCGGTTCAGCTGTTTTCCGAAGGACCTGCTGGCCCTTCGTCGGGCCGTCTTGGGCTGTCATGGGATTCCGTTCGGGTTCTCTTGGGCGTCCGTGGCTGTCAGAAGCCGTCGTGGGGCCACCGAGGGGCTCTCTGGAGCCGTCGGAGAGCGCCGGCGCGCTTCGGGCGCTCGAGGGCAGCTTTTTCACCACAACCCCTTCTCGCATGCACAACGCCCAGCTCAGCTCCCCGCATCTGACTCAGCAGCGCCAAAGCCTGCCGGCACTGCTCGCCCTTCACGCACGCGCTGACCCCAGCATTGTAGCTGACATCATAAGCTACAACGCTGGGATCAGCGCTTGCGAGAAAGGTCAGCAGTGGCAGCGGGCCCTGTCGCTGCTCAGCGAGATGTTGGGGTCGAAGTTGAAGTCCACTGTCATCTCTCCTACATGGCCAGTGGAAGCGCGTGCGAGAAGGGCTCACAGGGCCTCGTGTGCGCAAAATCGCCGCGTGTGCCACCACGGGACCGAATCGCTCAGGCCGGTCCCAGAGGCGCTCCAGAGAGGTCCCAGACCGTCCAAGAGCGCTCCAAGATGGCCTCAGTGGGTCTCGAGACGGCCCACGAGGGCCCGAAGCTTTCCGGGGGGGTCTCCACGACGATCCAAGAGGCCGCGAAGCCCCAAGAGGGCCCCGAGCGAACGCCAAAGAGGCACAATTCGTCAAATTCCCATGGGAAAACGTACATTTTCAGCATGCCCGCCTTGTGTGCTCCTCTGCGGCCCAGGACACGCCAAGAGGCCTCCCAAATCGCCCCAAGAAGACGCCAGCGGCCCCTCAGAGGGCTCCAAGACGGCCCACAAGAGCCCCAAAACGACGCCAGAGAGCCCTGAAACGGCCTCCCAGAATCCCAAGACGGCCCCAAGAGAGCTCCGAGGGGCCCCCAAGAGGCTCCCAAGACGGCCTCAGGTAGCCTCAAGAGAGTTCCAAGACGGTCCAAGGCCTCCCAGACGCCCCGTGACGGCCCAAAATGGTTCCAAGACGTCCCGAAACGCTTCCAGAGCAGCCCAAAAAGCCCGGGAACGGCCCCAGAGGCGCCCAACAAAATTTCAAGAGAAAAGGCCCCCAGGAGGCCGCAAGACGGCCCAAGAGGGCCCCAAGAGGCCCCCAGGAGGCCGCAAGACAACCAACGAGGCCCCAACACGGTTCAACAGGCCCCCAGGAGCTCGAAAAGAAACCCCGAGAGGCCCACTAACCGTTCCCAAGGAGACGGCAGTGCCCGCCATCAGGCTTCGAAGAGGCGACCAGAAAAAAGTCACCAGAGCCTTCCGGGTGACTTTTTTCAAGGCCACAGGTGCTTTCAAAATTGACAATCGGCGAGACGTACACCGCAGACCCACCATAGCCGTCTGTGACGTTCCGAAGGCTGTCTAGGCGGAGGTAGAGCGGAAGGCGGACGAAGAGAAGGAAACGGTCAAAGAGGGCTTCCGAGACGGCCCAAGACCGCTCGAAGACGCCCCAGACGAGCCGCGGCAAACGAAATCATTGATTCTTCTATGGTTTCTGAAAGATTTCCACCTTCTCGCCACTTCGAGCGAAGACAAGCCCAAGACGGCCTTCTCAAGCCAAGACTGGCCCAAGATGACGTGGACGAAGTCCACGGGTTCGCCCTAGTCTCTACTACATGGCAGGCATACGCGCGTCCGAGAGGGGTGGTGGTCGGGGAGCTCCTCCGACGCCCCGGCCCCGGGCGGCGCGGTTTAAAGACGCCCCGGGCGGCTCCGGAGAGGCTCTGGAGGCCCCAAGAGGCCCCCAAGACAGCTCAAGGAGCCCCCGAGACGCCCAAAGAGCGTTCCAAGAGGCCGCCCAGACGGCACAAGAGGCCTGCAAGCGTATTTCCCGAGGGCCCCGAACGGCCAAAATCATCAACTTTACGATGGTTTTGGAAGGATTTTGGCCTTCTCGCCTTTTCCGCTTTCCGACGCTCGAAGACGGCCCAAGAGGCCTCCGAGAGCGCCCCAGAACGGCCCAAGAGGCTTCCAAGAGCGCCCCAAGACAGCCCAAGAGGGCCCCAAGACGACCCAAGAGACGCTCAAGACGGCCCACGAGGGCCCGAAGACAGGCCCAAGAGGGGGCCAAGAGGGGGACCACGGACCGAAAATCCGAGCCTTGCGCCCCAAGAGGGCGCCAGGAGGCCCAAACAGGCCCCCAAGAGGCCCCAAGGGGCCGCCAAGAATCCCCCGAAGAGGCCCCAGGAGGCTCCCAAGGAGCACAAACGAGGCCCCAACAGCAGAGGCCCCAACAGCCTCCAAAATGACCCCAAAGAGGCCTCGAGCCCGCCTCCGAGCTTCCTCGCCGCGAGGGTGCCAACACGGCCCCAGACGGGCCCAGGACGGCCCAAGGCGCGCTCAAGACGGCCCAAGACGACTCCAAGACGGTCCCAGGAGGGTGGGCCCAGGACGGCCCAAAGACGCGCCCGGTCGGGGCCTCAAGACGGGCCAAGATGGCAAGAGAGCCCCAGCTGGCAAAAATCGTTTATTTTCCATTGTTTACTGTTACACCCTTTGCGTTTCCCGCCATTTCGGCGGTCCGATGCACCAAGAGGCCCCAGAAAGTCCCAGGAGGGTCCGAGGAAACGCCCAGGAAGGCCCCGAGACGGGCCAAGACGGACCCAGCACAACCCAAGGCGCGCTGCGACGGCTCAAGACGGCTCCAAGGCAGCCTCAAGAGGGTGCCAACACGGCCCCTGCTGGGCCCATGACGGCCCAAGGAGGCCCACAGGAGGGGCCCAAGACGACTCCAAGGCGTCCCCCTCACGGTCCCAGACGGCTCCAAGACAGCCCCACGATAGTGCCAACAAGGACCCCGATGGGCCCAGGACGGCCTACGGACGCGCCCATGAGGGGCCACGACGAACCAAGACGGCCCTATCACGGCAAACGACGCCCTCAAGACGGGCCTAGACGGCTCCAAGACGGCCCTTTGAGGGAGCCAACGCGGCCCCACACCCTTCGGGTGAACACTTGGGGGGGCTGAGAGCTTGCGACAAGTCTCCCACATTCATTGTCCTGCCCCATTATGTTCGCCTGGAGGCCTCCTCCAACCCTGTGGGCGAACAAGAGGAAACACAGCGGGCCGCCAACCCTGGGGCCCGTGGGCCCCGCGCCGCTTGGGCAGAAGACGAACGCCGGGGCTGACAGGCCAGCTACCGCCCCCCTTTGCCCGATATGCTGTGCCATTCTGTTCCCCCAGGGGCCTTGGCAAACTCTTCGGGCCAACCAGACCGGACCCCTGGGACAGCAGCCAATTGATATGACCCAGGGACCTCTCCGCATTCTTCGGACGAGCACCTGGGGGCCCAGGAGATTCGGACAAGTCTTCCCCATTCCTTGCCCTGTCCCGTTCTGTTCGTCCGAAGGCCTCCACAGACCCTCTGGGCGAACAGAATGGGACATGGCGAACAAACCCTCCCGTTGGCGGTTATGCGACTGGATCGCACCATCAAGGCGTGCCCGGAGGTGATGGCCGACCCAGCAGCGGTTTCTCTAAAGATTTTAGAGAATCTCAAATTGTTTGAAGCTCTCCTGGGCCCTCCCTGTAGATCCTTGCGAGCCTCCCCGGCGCTTTCGGTGGCTTTCCCCGATGGCCTCCCGAGCCCTTCCCTGGGCGCTGCTGAGACGCCTCAGATGGGCTTCGACTTCGACGCACATCCCCGAGAGACTTCGAAACTGCCCTCAATAGGAGGGGGGACGAGCAGTGCGCTGGGCCAAGCTGCTGGAGCGTTGCAAGAGCTCGGACACGAAGGCGCGGTCTCGCTGCCGCATCCCGAACCGCCGCCGTGTTTGTAGATTTTCGGTGCAATCTGCGCCGTTCCTCCGAGAACCATTCCAGAAAGGTGTCGTGGACGGAGTCCACGGGTCAGTCCTAGTCAGCTACAATGCTGGGATCAGCGCGTGCGAGAAGGGCAAGCAGTGGCAGCCGGCGCTGGCGCTGCTAAGTGAG